ATGGACACGCCGACATTTGGTGTCAAGACGGGCGAGCATATGCCGGGTGAGGTTATCAATAGCTACCTCAAGGCGTACGCGGCCAGGTTTGGAATCACAAACCTGGTCCGTTTAAGCACCAAAGTCCTCGTTGCTGAACATCAAGATACCGTCGAGGGTGGATGGGTCTTGACGGTCCAGCCGCCGAACCAAAGCGAGACTAAAGTCTTCGCACGTCGAGTCATCTTCGCTACCGGTCTAACTTCAGAGCCATTCTTGCCGCACTTTGAAGGTGAAGAAACCTTTGGTGGTAGAATATTCCATGGCAAGGCATTTAAACAAAATGCCGATACGTTACAGACCGCTAAGAGGGTTACGATCTTCGGCGCCACCAAATTCGCCTGGGACGCCGTTTACGCCTACGCCACCGCCGGCGTAAAAGTAGATTGGGTAATCCGCTGTGAGTGTTTTTCGTAATTATTGATAAATCGTGGCGTATTAACCGATTTCAATAGCTTCCGGCCACGGCCCCTGTTGGATCGCTCCATCGTACGTAACTCCACTTAAGAAGTGGATCGAGAAGCTCGCCAGTAAGTCATTGCGATAATTCTTGTGAAGCTCAAAATACCTATCTTAACACATGTGAATAGACATGCGCTTCTTGACATGGTTCAGCCCTTGCGCATGGGGCGATATTGACGGCTACGGTGGGATTCGTGGCTTTTACCATGGAACTCCTGTCGGACGTGCCATCGTTAACTCCTTCTGGAAGGTGTTAGGAGGAGATGTTATCAGTCTCAACGGATACGACTCCCATCCGAAGACAGCCAAGCTGAAGCCTTGGACCAGTGCTATGTTTACAGGTTCAAGCTTTAGTATCATGAATTATGATACCAATTTCATGGATATCGTTAAGAGCGACCTCGTCAACGTCTATGTTAGCGAAATCGACCATCTCAGCCCAGGAAAGGTCCACCTATCCGACGGCAGCGAGTTCGAGTCCGACGCTCTACTCGCGCACACCGGCTGGAAGCACGTGCCGTCCATAAAGCTCCTACCCGAAGGCATCGAGAGTGAACTTGGTGTTCCGCATAGCCCGAACCCCAACGCACCAGCTAATGACCTCGCCAACAACCCTGAGTTGATGGAGCGCGTAGACAAAGATATCCTTGACCGCTTCCCTCGGTTGAAAGACCCGCCCGTATGGAACAAGAATTATGTCCCTATGACTGAGCAGAAGGGGATCATGAGTGATGATGATGTGACCCCCTACAAGCCGCTCACGCCGTACATGCTGCACCACTTTGTCGTACCTCCATCCGAGCGATTCCTGCGCCCTCGTGACACAGCCTTCATCGGTATAGTGTCCAACTTCAGTAACATGATTACTGCACACTTGCAGGGTCTCTGGATCAGCGCTTATTTCGCCGGGAAACTCGAACGGGACCCGTCGGTGGCGGTTGGTGACCAGAAGGCAATGGACCATCTTCAATACGAGACCATGCTGTACAACCGCTTTGGCAAATGGCGCTATCCGACCGACGGCACGAAGAACCCCAACTTCATCTTCGACGCCGTTCCGTATCTTGATCTCCTACAGCGCGACCTAGGTCTTAACATATATCGCAAGAAGGGCTTCCTGGCGGAGCTTTACGAACCGTACGGGCCTGAGGACTACCGCGATGTTAATACCGAATGGTTGAGCAAGTACGGCAACATGAAGAAGCTAGAATCTCTAGACGACAGCTTAAAGCCTTTAGACTCGCAAGAGCCGAATCTGAACTAGACTAATCTAGATCTTTTCTATGTGCTCTGGGAGCCAGCACGGGCGTGTGCTAATGAGGGGTTGTACTTCTATCCGGGCTACGGACTACGGGGATGGGACGGAGTTGTCTTTGAGACAATGCACTAAAAGCACTCCTCGTTGATTTTTCTTTGTTTTTCTATACGATATTCCGCTGGCGCATCAGCATGATCTGTCATTTCTTTTCCTGTTAAAAATTTTACCTGTACAATTACATAGCATGCTTTTCTTTTTTCTTTCTTTCTTTTTTTCGCGTAGAAACTAGAAGATACCCATAATCTAGCAACCAACAACACATAGCGAGGTTGGGTATGCATAATACTATTGACGCAGTAATGCTATTGATGCAGTGCAAAACACGTGCAGCGAACCCAGCATAAGTCTTGTTCACGTGCAATCTCGGTGTACGAAGTACGAAGAGTGTTTACCTCACAATCGAAACGTATTGCCCTCCAAGAAAGATAGGGGTAAGGGTAAGTGAAATACAAAGTGAAAATACACACTGTAAGCCAGCCACTCGCTTACATATCGTATAGGATATAGCCTAGTGAAATTTTCTACCCTGTCTAGCAAGCATATCAAGTTTCTATCCCAATATCATGCAACACTCGAACCATGTTATCAGATGTGTTACCGACAGCAAGGAACTTACTGCATAGGTCCTTTCGTAACAAGGAATGGTGATAACCTAGTATGTGCTCCAAATCTAATGCCCGTCTTATGCACTCATTAATATGACATGCATAGCAAAAAGGAGAAAGGGGACAAATAGAAAGAGAGCTACGTAATTTGGAAGTAACCTCGAGGCTCTGTCATACATAATAGCATTATCGTTCAAGAGAAAATTTGAAGAGGCTTATAACTGATCGATCAATGATCGCCGACATGAATCTTAGCAGCTAATTTCAAAAGCTGACAAGACCAATCATGGACGGCGGAGCCGACTTCGGAAGGCATCTTACCCCGACCCCAAGCCACTACAACAGACGATCCCGGATTAAGATACGGGATCCGGGGGCTAACGGAATCTTATTAGGGGGCTAATGTAGTGCCACAATGAAGAGATCCTTCACCACTAGTTCAACGGCGGCCCTACCTATTATGTACATATGTATTGTCAAGTGTTAGAGAAGGAATTAGCGTACGTAGCTATTCCTTCGGCGCCGCGGTAACAAGGGTTACAAAAGGTCAATGTCACAACAGGGATCAAGGGGGGGTCAAAATGTCAACTCCACATCGCATCGACGATGGGTCTTTTTATGCTTATTGCTGCGCCCCTTTTTGTTACATAATATACACGAGGATGATCTTTTTTATGAATGTATTTAATCACTAAGCGTGGGGTTGCGTGGAGGTCAACCAGGTCAGAAAGGATTTGCCCTATCGCCTTGCAATTCAAGGCCGAGCGTCTCCAGGGAATATTAGCAAGCTTCAATGTTCTAGACTATCAACCCAGTTCAGCCCAAGAAAAACCATGTCTATTGTTTCTAGGATGCTATCACCATGGATTGAATCTTGGTCCCAAATACGGAATACTAATCCCTTCAACCCTGTTGCCATTCAATACATAGAAGTCCATAACTACCTAAGGTAGTGCAACAACAAAACAAAACAAAAAAGTAAGTTTCTAATAGTTCAAACTACTATAAAAACTCGGCCGAAAATACGGAATAGGTGTAGTTCATCGTTGGAAATACTACCTACCATTCCCAGCACATTGGTAATGAGGCTTGCATTGCTCGCATCTTGGCTAGCTGCATACATAGAATTTTCTACGTGCACAACAGGATGCAACGTATAGGGGGTTACATATATGTACCTAAAAAAACCTAGGTAGGCATGTTCTAATCTTGCCTTCTCGATCCCCCCGCAGCAGCAATTAAACCCCTCGCGGAAATTCAAACGACGGTGAGCACAGCGTTTACCGAGGCGTCGCATAGATTAGGTCTACATACACCGGGACGGAGTAAGAGCAGTTGTAGTAAATGCGCCGATCGAGTCAACAAGTAGTGTAAAGGATAAAACTACCGCGAAAGTGAAAGCTCCAAAATACAACGTTCCTTGTTCCTTGAAACGATGAAATGCTAAGCGATTTGTCAATTGACATTGGTATGAACGACTGGTTTTTCTTAACTCCGCCAAGTTCCAACAGCTGCATGAGGCGTCTGCAAGACATCAGCGAAATTTCACGTGTGAATGGCGACATGGAAGAAGATTCGCCTCCTTTTCCATGCTTCATCCCACATCCCAAACCAACACACATGATAGTAACCCCTCATCTAGCTGCGAACTACATGCATACCTACCTACCTTATGTACATAGGTAAACATCGACATATGTACGGATTAGAAGCACGTGCATGCGGATGAAGACCATAAGAAGACCATAAGACTTTATCGTTACATAATGTGGATAGCGAGCGTGCATTAGCCAGTAAAGCCTATTGAACCTTAGTTACGCTATGCATTAGGTACCTGTTGTGCATTTGTTAGCGGGGTTACGGTCCGCAATAAACGCAATGAGCAAGTTATTCGGCCCATATGCAATGTTACACGAGCTTTAAGCGTCGAACTTCTCCGCTTCATCTTTTCAAATAGACACTTTGCATAGGTATTTTCATATTTCAATAATAATGGCATTGCTAACACAACGTAATAAGGCGAAGTTGTTTTAAACATTAGGTCCAAAGCACCGACACGCGGGAGCGGCCGCTCAATACCCACTACCCACGTAGAGGCTTTTAGTTGTTGTTATTATTATTAGCCCTAAGCCTTACGACCCCGTAATATGAGAGGTAATAAGAGAGATGATTTCCGTACGACAAGGGAAAATTAATACGCGTTTGTTAGTAAGCCGCTCTACGAGACTGTAATTACAACAATTACCAATACTTATAAACGCGAAAAGGCGACTGGTCACGACCATATTCAAAATACGATTTCGCCGCAACGATATTCTGGCTCGCCCAAACTGAGAAACTTTGAGGTACTCAATTTCCATATTTCCATATTTCCATATTTCAATAATATGGCTGCCACGAGGGCATCTGTTATGTCAACGCCGCGTCCCTGCATACACGCGACCCTTTAGAATTGAAGCCATGGTACAGTTTTAATGTGTGTCTCAAATCCTTTGCCGATCTCATAGAGCCTCAAAGTTTCATGACCATTCTATTCAACGACTTCATTGTAAATAGATTCATACTTCATAATATTCTATTGATAGATAATTTGCTATCATTGAGTCTAGAATGTCATCTTATTAGAATCTACACCACCGTTAATTCTATCAGGGGTGTTATCAACGTTATCTAGCTCCTCTTAGTAGTTTCAATTGCGCATAGTTACGATAAAAGTAAAAACTCGGGCTGATCAACGTGATAAGCAACGCCTAGTCCCAAGCCATTGAATCCAAGTCCGACGGGGGCTGATCTCTTGTCTAACATATCCGTTCCGCGCCTTTGGCGTTTTCTCCCACATCAATTTCCCATTTTTCCCATTTACAATGTGATCTTGACATCATTCCGACCTATCGTAAACTCGAAAGCCAATATCACCGGCTGTTGAATTGACTTCTCGCGACGTGGCGGATGCAGAGGCGGCATAAGCAAGGAACTCACTATGCGTTCGCGCCCGTACACGCCGCCACCTTCGCTGCCACCATTTCTCGCCGAATTAGCCACATTGCTCCCCAATCGTGAGTGCAGAAGCAGCGAGGGCGACAGAGCGACATCATTGTTATATCTGGATCCTGAGACGAGTCGGTTGTTGCCGGCAAAAGAGCGACCGCAACATTGTGTAAGAGTGCAGGGTCGATTGGCGCCGGTGCGCAGTGTTTCTGTTGCCAACCTGCGGTCGACAAGCCAGACGCGTTTCGACACGGCAGTAAGCGGTACTCCGGCTCGACCCCGGAGGCCGCGAAGCTCAGATGACCTAAATCACGAGGTGGGAAGTGAGATCAGGGAGAGGGATTCCCAACTCAGAGGCTATGGCATTGGCGGACGGGGCAATATCCGCGAGTTCCCTCTCTTACATAAGATTAACGTGTGCTTGGACGCTCATACTCACAGCAGGTCGGCCAACAGAGGTCATAGGGACTCAATCCGAGTCCTCCTTATCCGCGCTCTCGCTCTTTTCAAGTAGCAGCTCGACGACGCACCGCTCATTCTCAGGGCCAGGTGTGGATAAGAAATTTAGTTTTTCGGGATTATTAAATCGAATCGAAGAGCGCAGGGGGAAGGAGTATTTGAATATGAATAATGATACGGCTTATGGAAGAAGCCTGACTCGAGCCTAGGGATATATCACGAAGTTTTTATTACGAGTTCACTATATATAATGCATAGCCTGGATCTGAGAGGCAGGTCTAACTTAATTGGAATACATAGTATAGTTAAAGACGTATCGCGTTGTTTTAGCGGTTGTCTTAGTATATATGAGCTTCTACTAAAATTTCCCAAGTCACCTATCTACCTACTCTAATAGATAGAAAAATAATTAGTTAATCAAAGATGTTAGGTAGGTAGATTTAGTGCTTAATATAGATACCTACACAGTCGATGATGGATGTCTGCTTCTACAAACCTTCGACGTTCTTGAACTTATTTTCACAGAAGATTCTATTTGGTTTATACCATAAAAGCACAACGTCTTAGTGAGTTCCATGGTAAGGGAGGAAATAAATTCGATAAATATCTAACTGGTAGTTTAATGACAATAAGGTATGCTTCAACTTGACTCTAAATTAGACGCAAGTCGAACTACTTTGAGGAGAGCCAACGTCCACTTCTCGGCTATAGCAATCCAGGGCAACGCTCTGGGACCTGTCTGATCAGCGGAGTAAACCCTTCGCTACTAAACTCTATTTAATAAATATATAGGTTCTTACCGAATAATACATTTATCATATACGCACACGATCTGGATCTAAGCGGGATTGACCGCTGCTATTCACAATTTCAGTCCTTTTCCAATACTAAATTCCAATTCAGTACAACACACCACTTCTTATCCGAACCCTTTCTATTACGTACCTTATATGAAGCTGAATGTCGGTGTGTAGAGGGCTCTTGATTGGTTTGATTTGGTCAAGTGGCCGCTATGGTTCATAGTATATATTAAAAGCATATAATTCGTCGACTTAATCGGAATATTGGTCAGGTGGTTATTCTACAGTTACACTTGAGCACAGTTGCACCATGCCATCTACCCTCGTGACCGAAACAGCGTCGGCGAGAGTAACGCATACGGTTCGAAGATCTCATGCATCACATTCCCAAACTATATGGCGGGCTACCACCCAAAGTCATTAGTGGAACTACGAAAGGGTGTCTACGTAGTTGTAACTCATCAATTATTAATAATAGGAAGTAATGTATTCTAAGATAAAAATAAATTATACGTTTTATTTTACGAGGCTAAGCCCTAACCATCCCAATAAGAAAGTCGCTAGTCAACTCCTGAGAAATTCTTATACTTCTATGAAGAGTTTCTATGAAGGTGAAAAGGACGGAGTTTGATCTAGCCAAATTAAGCAGCATTATACTTCAAAGTTAGTATGGTTTCCAGATACGAAATTTTTAATATGATCTTTAACCATTGCCTTCTTTGTAGAATAATAGGCCATGTGCGGGGACAAGGTAAGATTCAAACCCGATGTATCCTCTGCTAAGAATGCACTATCTTCCTCGGTAGACGCGGGTTCTCTATCGAATACATCCACTGCGACGCCAGAGATCTGCTTCTCTCGTAATGCCCGGATCACTGCAGTTGTGTTCATGACCCCTGCGGGACACGTTGACGATGATTGCCTCGGGCTGCATGGCGCTCAGCTCGGGCGCGTCGACCATGTTTCGCGATGCTTCGTCAAGGGTACAGCAAATGAAGAGCATAGTAGCTGATCTGATAACCTCATCGAAGGGAGTGCGGAAGCCGGCCGGCCCATTTATTATGTCGTTCGGGTTTCTCTGACTTGGACCGTCGGCCTTGCGCTCGGCGATAAGCACTTTCATTCCCAACGCCTTACAAAAAACATCAAGACGCTTACCTAGTAGACAGTTTAGCCCAAGTAGCATGGCATAGTTTAGTATACGTACCAATAGTACCATATCCAACGATTCCTGCGACTTCTTGTTCGAGGAAATATGGTGGGTGGCCATTTGCGGTTTGCATGTTGGATGTGATGCTGCCTTGTCTTTTTTATGAGTTTTTGCCATCCTCGTCTACAGTTCGGATCTCATTGTGTAGCATTATCGTCTTGCGTCTAGCCGCGAAATACTTAAGTTAGAGTTAGTAGAATGCAGCTATCAGCCCCTTTTCCATACCTACGACTAACCAAGCTCAGTGCATGCTCAGGGACTGCTAAAGACGTCGAGCCAAGACATTTGGCCACTTTGATGCCACGACGACGACACTCTTCTACGTCAATGTGGTTTGTGCCAGCAGTTGGAGTGATCACACATTTGCTTAATGGTCAGTAGAATCTCCAATGAGGGGTGCGTGGATATCTAAGTAAGCATACAGATGAGGCGCGTCTCCCAAGCTTTCGGCTGTGATGAATGCTTGAGGTGCAATGACGATACTAGCGCATTGTATACGTTCGCGTACCTCTTCTGCTTTACTGATACGCTGATATGAAATATACTCATGCGTCCGCGCGGCTGTATCGATATCTTCAAGTACCATATGGACTTCCTCAAGCAGCACGATTACTTCATGAGTTGAAGAGGGCAGCCCTTCCGGCAACTTTAGCATATCTAACACCATCATGATAAATGACAAATAGTAAGTGAAAAGTATTGGTGAGAGTTTCTACTGGTGAATTTTACACAGCAGGTCGATCATTTTTTCAAGACACTAAGGATATTCCACAACCAACAGACTGATGATAAGTCTAGGCGTAGGGGATCAGGCGCCAAAGATACACCAATGATGGGTAAAGGTCGATTAGGGGCTTAATAATAACTTATGATGCTGTAAGGGTAGGATAAAACTAGATAAATCTATAACCTAGTTAAGTGTAGGTCGAACCGTCTGGAACAAGACCAATAATAAGTAAGTCGCGACCCCGTTACTGGGGCCCCCCCAGTGGGGGCCACCCGATTTATATGTAAAATCAACAAAATCGCATATTCATAATTAATTTAAAAAGAATAGCTAAAAATATGCAATCTTAGTTTTTTATTCATTTACTATAATATTACTTAATTTAAATTTTTTTTAATTTTATATTTTAACGTTTTTATGGTAAAATAGTAAAAAGTGATAATTTTAAATGTTTTTTTTATTGAAAAAGTTTTAAAATGTATGGGACTTTTAAATTTAATATTTTAAAACTATTATAAAAGTTAATAATTTTATAAATAAAATAGCTAGCAACTTTTTTTTAAATATATGTTATAAATTAAAAAGTCTTTTATTTATTAATAAAAAAAAGGAAATTTTAACAATAATATTTGTAAAGCTAAAATTTCATCGACGGACAGTCGCAAGCTCCTGATCCGTCTCGAAATTTTGTTATGGGAGGTGGGGGCCAAAAAGGGGGGGGGGGCAAAAGAAAAAAAAAAAAAAAAAAAAACTGTCCGTCAAATCTTTCCGAAGGAACCGCTCAAACTTCTAAGTCCCAGAGGCGGTTACCCTGTAAAGAAAAAAACTTTTTTTTTTATTTTTTTATTTTTTATTTATTTATTTTTTTTTTTATTTTTTATTTTTTTTTTATTTTTTTTTTATTATTTTTTATTATTTTTTATTATTTTTTATTATTTTTTATTATTTTTTTTTATTTTTTATTATTATTTTTCATTATTATTTTTCATTATTTTATATTATTTTTTATTATTTTTTTATTATTTTTTTATTATTTTTTTATTATTTTTATTTTTAAATATCGGTCATTTTTTAAATTGACCATTTGTAAGGTTATTATCATAAAACTGAAATCAAAAGGTGTTATTATTGAAAGATGATGTTTTGGAGAATTTAAAATATTAGATTATTATAGTAAAGTTTTATTTATATATATAAAAGGATGAAAGTTTTAATTTAAATATTAAGTTATAATGTTATTTGGCGGACTGTTAAATAATATTATGACGTATATTACAGCTATAATAGTATTTTTTTTTTAAATAAAGTATTTGTTTTAAATATTTTAATTTTTATTACTTCCGTTATATTTGGGTTATAGCTTTTTTTATTTTTTTAATTTTCCTTTTTTTGATTTTTTCCAGTTAATAAACCATTGAGATTTAGACTTTTTTAGGTTTTAGTAATAGAAATTTTTAAGTTAACTTTTATTTTTAATTATATAATTTTCACAGTTTTAGGTAGATTTATATGATGTTTATTAAATTAAAAAACTAAACATTTTTTTCGGTTAATTAAAGATCTTTACATTTAGTATTTTTTTGAAAAATTATTTTAAATAACTGTTTTTAATATTATTATTTTATATTAATGTTTTATTATTTTTATGTTATTTTTTTGTGTGATTGTTTATTTTAATTTGTTTGGGTAAAAGATTATTAGGGGTTTTTATGAAAAATAATATGTAAAATATTGGGAATATTTTTGTGTTTTTGGGTAGTTTTAGCAAGTAAGCATTATTGTAAACTTTTAGGATTTTATACAGGCTTTATTATTTATTATTTAATTTTTGGGCTGGTTATTTAGTTTTAATGTTTTGGATATTTAAAAAAACTTTATTTCCGGGTTTATATTTAGGATAATTAACTTTTTTTATATTAACGTAATAGGTTTATTATTATTATATTTTAATTATAATTTTTTTAAAGTAAGTATTAATTTGTTTTATATATATGGTTAATATATTTATTATAAAATATTTTTATTATTGTTAAGTAATTATTTCCGGTAGTATTGATTTTATAAATTTAATATTTAATTATAGATAAAATTTATAATTAATAAAAAAAGGTAATATTTTTATAATTTTTAATATTAAATTATTAATTGTAAATTTTGTTAATAATAATTAATTTTTTTAATTATTTTATAAAAATATTACGTAATAATATAGGTATATTTTTATAAATATATTAAAATTTTTTAATTAACCGTTTATTTAAAGATAAAATATTAAAAAAGGGGTAAAGTTTGTTTTTAATTTATAATTAAATTATATTTAAAAGATTAATATAAATTAAATATTTTAATTATTTATAATAAATATTAAAGTATTATATAAACTTTAAATTTTATAAATAAAAACGTTTATAAATTTTTTTATTTTTAATAATATAATTAAAATAAAATATTTTATTTTTATAAATTTATTAATTATTATTAAAATATATTTATATATAAAATTAAATTTAATATATTTTAATAATAATATTATATAATTTATGTTTATATTTTTCTATAGTATAAAAGAAATTTTAAAAAATTAAAAAAGTTTTTAAAATATATTTTTAAATGGTTTAAATTAAATATAATAATAATAATTTTTTATATATTAAATAACGTTTTTATATAATTTTAACTAGATATAAAAACGTGATATTAAATTTAAAGTTTTTATTTTTTTTAAATATTTTACTAAAATTAAATTATAATATTGGAAAAAAATTTAAATTTTAAAATTTTTGTTTTTAAAAACAAATAAACAACTTTAATAATATATCTTTTTTTAAACCACTTTATAATTTATAAATTATATTTATTATAATTTACTACGTAAATCTTTTAACTAAATTTTCTTTATTACATTTTTTAAAATAAAAATTATTTATTAAATTAAAAAAGATTTTATATACGCGTTATTTATTAATGTATTTATAAACGTGTTTGTGTTTAATTAATATAAGAAAAAATCTTTATTAAATTTATATTAAAATAACTTATTTAAAATCTTTTTATTTATACAATTTTTTATAAAAATTATACAATATTTATTATTAATTTTTTCATCGTGTACAAATTTAAATACGGTGTTAAAAAAGCAATTTAAAGTATTTAGTTTACCCGTTTTTAATTTAAATTAATAAATAATATAAAAATTAAAACGGTTAAAAAATTTAACCTACTTAATTTATTTAACATTTAATTATTTCGTAATTATAAAATATTATAAATTCTTATAATTAAAAAATATGTTAAATTTTTTTAAATTTTTTAATTTAAATTATTATTTTTTTAAAACTTTTATAATAGTTAAAAATTTTTTATTATAAATTTTATAATTATATTTTTATATTAAATATTTTAATAAAAAATAAATTATAAAATACCATTTTCCATTATTACTTTTTTACATAAACACATTTTTATATATTTAATTAAAAACGTTTATTTTTATTAAGATTTCCTAATTTAAATTATAATACATTAAAATAAATTTTATCAAAAATATCTTTTTTAATGTAATAAATGTAACTTATACTTTTTTATTTTCTTTTTAATTTTAAAATATACCAATTTTTATTATTTTTATTAAAAATTTAATAATTTTAAAATATTTTTTTATAAAACATTTATAAAAATTAATAAAGTTTAAAAAACTTTTTAATTTTTTTAAACTTTTAAAATTTCCCTATTAAAAAATAATATTAATTTTATTAAAATCTATTTTAATATTATTAACGGTAATAATTAAGCTAAAATATTTAATTTTTTATACAAAAAATTTATTTTTATTAATATTTACTTAAAAACCTACCTTATTAAAACGTTATAAAATTTCTTGAATATATTCCACATATTTTTTTTTAATTTTAAAATAAATAATTATATTATTTAAATAAATTAAACATATTACATTTAATAAGTTAAATAAAATTTAATTAATATATAATTAAAAATATATTAAAACGTTTATAAATTTAAATAATATTATTTTATATTTATATAATTTATATTTTATAATAAATATTATTTTTTATTTATTTTTTTCTTTTAATTGTATATAATTAAATATAGTTATTATATTAATTTTAAAGAAAATCTTAACGTTTTTTATTTTTTTTAAAATATTTTATATTTATAAAATTAAAAAACGGTTTTTAATTATATTATTATTTAACTATTTATAATTTATATATAATTTAATTCCTTTACTTAGTTTTTTAATTAAAAATATTTTAAATATAATAGGTAAAATAAATCGTTAAATAAATTTTTTATTTAAATATTTTTATAAATATTTTTATATAATTTTTTATTTTTTACTATTATATAATTAAATTTTATAATAAAATAAATTTACATTAAATTTTAGGTTAATTTTAACATTATTAAAACAGTATAAAATTAATTTATTTATAATTTTTTTTTAAAAAACGTATAATAAATTATAAAATTTATATAATATTTTTTTACGCAATTTATCGTTTATATAATGTAATTTACCTTTTATAAATTTATTTATATTTTTTTTTAAAATTTTATTTAAAAATATCGTTTTTATATAATCATTTATAAAATTATATAATTTTAAATTAAATTACTTTTTAACTTTTTTTATATCAATAACCCTTATAAATATAATTTTATATAATTTTTTCAATATTTTATCAAAATTTATTTTATTTATAAAATTTTATATAAATTTATTAAAATTTATAAAAATAATTTTTACATTTTTTTAATAATAATATATTATTATATTGGTAATAAATAATAATTAAATTTAAAAATTTTTTTCGTTATTTATTCCGTTTAATACAAAAATTTTAATAGTTTGGTTAGTAAAACTTCCGTATAAAACATTAAGCCGTAAAAAGTAACGTTATCTTATTTTTTTCTTA